CTCCTACATCTCTGGCAGTGGCGAAAACTCCACTGGAAATGCGAGGAACTTTGCCTGGGCTTTTGGGGAAACTCCGATATGAGGAGACGTGACCATGTCCGAGATCTGGAGAAGACAAAGTCATTTAAATGTGCTGTCCAACTTACTTGCTCTGGCTGGGCTTTCTCATTTTTAAGCAGGATGCACCTATTGCCATTTTCCTTCACTATGACTTGTATCAGGAGAGGCCTGACACCCACCACACACACCGCAAGATCACTCCTGATTAACACCAGGAGAGCCAGAACTTTTATCCATATTCACGTAAATAAAATAATCCCACGTGATGCTAATAAAAACACCTTCTCGGTGCACAAGAAAATAAAAAGAACATCTTTAAGAAAGCATGAAAGATGCCACCACTGCTCACCTGCAAGGTAACCTCACAGGCACCCAAACCAAGCGGCATTTACAGATATTCACAGTAGCGGAGAACAGAAACGACCGAAAATCGCAGGCAGCACCAGGTAGCAAACGGTAACAGAAGCAGCTCCGCGTTCCCTTCATCTCCCGTCTCCAACAGCCCCATGGAGCACGGAACGAAAAGCCACGCTCTCCTCGGCCGTCCGAAGCAGGTAAGTTGAGAAGCCACTTTCCAGAGAAGCCAGGAGCACGGCCCTTCCTAGCGATACCAAAGCTAAACCTCGCCCAGAGCAATTTATTTTCTGATTAAATACAGCAATTTTTGGCACGCCACCCAGGTTGCAGGCTTACAGAAACAGAAGATATGATTGAGCAAGCTGGAGATTTCTTCAGTATGGTTCGGGGCAGCGGGGAGGAAATATATGAGCAAAAAAAAATCCACAGTTATTCTACAAACTAACCCTTTGCTCTATTCCAGTAAGTGTGCAAAATGTTCCCAACTAAGAGGGAAGCACAGTGCACACTAAAAGCAAAAAAGCATTTTAGGCAGTGTTTATTCTTTAAGAATCAAATCCAACATTAAAGAATATCCTTGTGTTCAGGAGGAGGGCCCTAGGCACGGCACAAGTTACTTATCTTGCAATGTTTCCATTTATTGAGTGGCATGAAAATAAGTTACGGTAACGACTACTTTGAGGCTTAACCCGGAGGAGCACAAAATTGCAATTTGGCATCGAACATCGCCCCAAACCCCCTCTTTAACCTTCTCACATCGGTGCCACCAGCTTCGCCTTTTCCCCCCACCAACTTCAGCCTCCTGCAGCAAAACCAGTGCAGAACCCAGTGAAAACGATGGAAAAACGACAGGATTTTGGGGCGGCAGCCGTGGTCGCCCCCGTTACCGTCTCCTCTCCCCATTATTTTCTCATTCGTCGCCAAGGCGCCCGCAGCGACACTGGGGACCCACCGGTGGCACCGGGGACACCCTCGACGCGGCACCTGTTGCCCGGACTGGGCCGGCGGTACCGAGAATTGGGGCAGCAGCATCAGAGAGGGTCCCGTGGGGCAGCGCTCCCGGTGTCACCGGGAGCCCGCGGCGCCAACGGGCCCGTCCGCGCGCAGGGAGCGCGAGCCCCGTCGCTGCCGCCCGCCGGGGGACCTGGCA